ATGTTACTTTTTGGGTTGATGTTTTGTAGAAGAGCCCAGTCCATGGTATAGATTAGGGATGCACCGATACCGGTATTTTGGTACAGAGTACGAGTACCGATAATTTTTTTCCGGTACTCGCCCATACCAATTACCGAGTACCGGAAGTCCCATTCGGGAAGCCAGGTGGCGTGTAATGACTCGCCACCCGGCTTCCCGATTAACAAGAAAGTCTGTCCCCTCTCACCTCGGCATGTCCAGCCTGTCACCCCCGGGGGCCTCTCCCGCCAGGAGCGGAATTCCGCCGGTACCCAGCCAGAGCCGTCTTCCTGGCCAATCATGGAAGCCGGGCACCGTGTAATGACGTGGCACCCTGCTTTCTGATTGGCCAGGAGGCCGGCTCCATGCTCCCTCATCATGAGATGACGAGGGAGCACGAAGCCGGCTTCCCGGCCAATCAGAATGCTGGGCGCTGCGTCATTACACGCTGCTCAGCTTCCTGATACAGGAAGTATCAGGCTAGGCATCTGAGCATTTGGGCTTATATGAGTACTCGCCCAAATACTCGGTATCGGTGCATCCCTAGTATAGATACAATCCACGTTCAATAAATGTATGTAGCTGGCCCTTTAACCTCCCTGGCGGTCTGATTATTCAGGATTTTAGCATCCAAAAGCGGTACATTGTTTTTCATGGAAATTAAAGTGCAGGTGATTTCTGATTATTGATTGAATACAATTTCACACACACCGCTCAATCATTTTTTATTCCTTTCATTAAAATTCCAGAAATAAAATCAAACGTACATTTCCATTTTCAAAGATTTCGCAAATAATAACAGAAAAAAACAAAAACCAGAAACAGTACACCCAACCCCCATAATGGTTTCCCGAACTAATAACAAGAAGGAACTACATTCCTCATCCTGTGCTCTCCCTTCACCACAACTCTACACCCCTCTTACAAACACTTCCCACACATAATATTTACATATATTCATATATCCCAATCCCCACCCCAAATTTATCAGAACATCACCCTCCCCCACCCGTTCCCTACAATAAAACACACTCTGCACTCCCACCGCTCTCCCCCCACCCGTTCCCTACAATAAAACACACTCTGCACTCCCACCGCTCTCCCCCCACCCGTTCCCTACAATAAAACACCCACTGCTCACCCCCCACCCGTTCCCTACAATAAAACACACTCTGCACTCCCACCGCTCTCCCCCCACCCGTTCCCTACAATAAAACACACACTGCTCACCCCCCACCCGTTCCCTACAATAAAACACACTCTGCACTCCCACCGCTCTCCCCTCACCCTTTCCCTACAATGAAACACCCTCTGCACTCCCACCGCTCTCCCTTCACCCGTTCCCTACAATGAAACACCCTCTGCACTCCCACCGCTCACCGCTCTCCCCTCACCCGTTCCCTACAATTTAACACCCTCTGCACCCCCACCACTCTCCCCTCACCCGTTCCCTACAAGATAAGGTGTAATGGGGGGATGGGTATGGGATGATAATGAGAAGTTTGTAGTTGTGAAGTATGTGAGTTTGTGTGGAAATGTAAGCGAGAGGGGGAATGTGGTGTGGTGTATGTTAAGGTGAGCTGGTGGTGGAAGTGTGTTCAGAAAGTCTGGTCTATGCGAGAGTGATTTCAGGAAGCCGGTATGCTTTGATGCTCCGTGGTTTTATATGAAGATTGCACGATGTGAATCGGGAGGTGTGAAAGTAGGAAGGTGGTGAATGTGATGAAAAGAAGAGAGGAGTTGGAGGGGATCGGTGGTCTGAGTGCGGTGAGATGTGAACGTACGGAGGAATGTGTGTAATAAAGATTTGGATAATGGACAGAAGGATAATGCCTGGATGAGTGTGCACGAGGAGTGAGTCTCAGAGGAGGTTTGTTGATAGTGAGGTGTGCCCGGGGGGGGAGGGGTGTATGAGACAAGGGAGCGTGACCCATGAATTTTGGGAATGTAAGTTTGCAGAGGAAGATGGTTAAAGGATTAACGGGTGGTTGAGTGTATAACGTATGAGATGATGATGTGTGGAATGTGTGACATAGGAAAGGGAGAGGATAGGGTGTTATGAATGGTTGTGAATAGTGTGAAAGAGAGTTTATGGGATGAGAGGAACATTCCGGTGTTTAGGAAGGAGGAGCTGAGTGTTGGTGAGTGTGTTGCCATGGTCCGTGGAAGAGTCAGTAATTACATGTACTATAAATGTACAAAACTGGATGAAAGCAAAGCAGAATAAATGTGCTTTTGGCATTTCTTAAGTGGAAACATTGGTATAGTGAATATACTATTTTATTTTTTTTGTATCTAAATACTATGAGGATAATTTATTAAAATTGGAGCAGCTGTGCGCGGCAACCAATCAGCTTCTCTCTTTCATTCTCAAATCTTAACTGAACAAACTAAAGAGAGAAGCTGATTGGTTACCATGCACAGCTGCTCTGTGTGTTTTGGGTGTTCATTTTTGTATTTTTCTTTTATAATGGAACAATGTTCTACGGTGGAGGGAGAGTACAGAGTGGTGTTTCTTTAATGTAGGGAACTGGGGGAGGAAGAGTAATGTTCTAGTAAATTTGATGTGGGTTTTCGGGCATATGAATATACACTATGTTGCCAGAAGTATTGGGACGCCGGCCTTTACATGCACATGAACTGTAATGACATCCCAGTCTTAGTCCCTAGGGTTCAGTATTGGGTTGCTCTTTGCCGCTATAACAGCTCTGCCTCTTCTGGGAAGGCGTCCACAAGGTTTAGGAGTGTGTGTATGGGAATGTTGGACCATTTGTGAGGTCCGGTACTGATGTTGGGGGAGGAGGCCGGGCTCGCAGTCTCCGCTCTAATTCATCCCAAAGGTGTTCTATGGGAACAAGGAAATGTCACGGAACACCCGAATCCAATGATTTGGAAGGGTGTCTGTGACAGATTGTACTGGCCACGGGGGGAGGTAATTGCTGGCTACTATGTTAGCAATAGGCTGAAACAGGCGATCAGTTACAAAATGGGTTAACTCACCTAAACAGGGTGTGGACAGAAGGTTTTAAAAGGAGATGCAGCAAACAGGTCGCTAGGAAGAGAGAGACTGAAACATAGACCTCCCAGGCTGCTGCACTAGAGGTATAGTGAGACCTGAGCAAAATGTTCTGTTTGTTTGGCAGGTGTTTAAACGCTTAGCTTGGCACCGTTATTCAGTGAGGGTGAAACTGTTTTCTATGTTTAGGTAGATCTCTGACAGAGACAGGCTTTTTGTTTATGTGTTTTTGATACTATCTGGCTTGTGAAGACTCAGTGCTGTTTGTGAAAAAGCTGTCGCTAACTGAGTACAATAAACTTCCCTGCTAAGGACTTTTGGACTCCGGCCTCTACAAGTTTATCGGCTTACTGACTGCATTGTGACACAGTGTTACCCAGGAGCAGGCACACACTGTTACAGTGTCCCAATACTTTTGGCAATATAGTGTATGTAACAAGACACAATCCTCATTAATACCTATCAGACCCATTTATGTAAGCCTCTAAACTGCTGTCAATTCCGCAAAGACTGTTTTATCACTTACTCATAACAAGCTCATTTGGCAGAAGATATCCCAGATCCCTTCTTGCTCATTCCCACACAACAAATACCTTCCACACATCCACACATTCTTGTTAATTAACCCTCTTCGAGGTTAGAGGACCTGAAATGAGAACAAGACCATGACTACCGGGCCTTTATACTGACTGAAGCCATGTTCATATTTCCCATCCTCCCGCACTCTTATTGCTATTAGCAATTATCCAAATATTCTATTACTAATGCTCCTTATTGGGGTTTTCAGATTCTGAATTATCAGAAATACTTTTGTTTACACAATGCCAGCAATATATAAAAATATATTCAACAGTAATGGAGCAATTATTGGTTCAAGAAAAAACCCCAACATATTACTCAACCAAGTTCCATTCACAGCCATCCGAGACAATGGATCCCACTCACTCTCACTGGGGCCTGTTGGGAATCCTTTACCTTGTGTAGAAGAACCCGTATGAGATCCTCATAATCTGAAATAATTGTTCAACACTCTCCACCTGACACCATATTGCAGGTTCCCGCTTGTACTGCCGAGAGAAAATAGAGCGGCCATGTTGTCTGCAGCGTCACCTTAGGTGTTTGGAGGTAGCTGTGTGCATAGTGTTCTGTTTAGGCTTTTCTTCTTTTTTTTTTTTTTCTCCGTATCTCTAGGTTGAACTCGATGGACTTGTCTTTTTTCAACCTGACTAACTATGTAACTATCTGCTGTCAGCTCTGCTATAGCATCAATGGTCTCATTGGTGGTCTGATCCCTGACTCCAGTATACAGGTTCATCTTCCTCATCATATAGATTCCCCATCCCGTCTATGAAGGGATCACTGCATAAAACACATCCACTCTACAGGAAATGTTTCCCTTCACTCGCAGGCCAGGAGAATATTGGGAGTTATTAAGACTTTCCCTTACAGACATGGCCGGGGTGAGATGACCCTAAATACAGTTACGGGTGGAATTGAAGGGAAGCCATTTTAGGACACACCTGTCACACAAGAAATAGATGTTACCTGGAAGGACTAGGACTCTTTTGGACCAATGGGGATTATTGAATCTGAAACCATGGAATTTTCACGGCTGTCCTTGTGGGATGACATGTGGTGACACTAACGAAACAACCCTCAACTCTTTCGTTGAGGCTTAGCTGCTACTCATTTAACACTCCCCTTATCCTAAAGCTTCCTCTCTGCAACTGAAGTTGAACATTGTGAATCCTCTGGTGTTTGCTAAGCCGTGCCTTCATAGTAAAAGCTTTGTCACATTCAGGGCACTGAAATGGCTTCTCTCCGGTATGACCCTTCTGGTGTACAGTAAGATATGCTTTTGATTTAAAAGCTAAGTCACATTCAGAACACTTGTATAGCTTCTCTCCAGTGTGAATCGTCTGGTGTTTGATTAGAGTTGACTTCCTTGTAAAAGCTTTATCACATTTAGAACACTGATATGGCTTCTCTCCAGTGTGAACCCTCTGGTGGATGATAAGGTATGAATTCATTTAAAAGCTTTATTACATTCAGAACATTGAAATGGATTTTCTACAGTGTGAATCTTCTGGTGTTTGACAAGGTCTGACTTCATTGCAAAAGCTTTATCACATTCAGAACACCGATATGGCTTCTCTCCAGTGTGAACCCTCTGGTGGATGATAAGGTATGAATTCATTTAAAAGCTTTATTACATTCAGAACATTGAAATGGATTTTCTACAGTGTGAATCTTCTGGTGTTTGACAAGGTCTGACTTCATTGCAAAAGCTTTATCACATTCAGAACACCGATATGGCTTCTCTCCAGTGTGAATCATCTGGTGTCTGATAATCTCTGACTTCATTGTAAAAGTTTTATCACATTCAGAACACCGATATGGCTTCTCTCCAGTGTGAACCCTCTGGTGTCTGATAAGGGTTGACTTCATTGTAAAAGCTTTATCACATTCAGAACACCGATATGGCTTCTCTCCAGTGTGAATCCTCTGGTGGCTGATAAAGTCTGACTTCATTGTAAAAGCTTTATCACAATCAGAACACTCATATGGCTTCTCTCCAGTGTGAACACTCTGGTGTCTGATAATCTCTGACTTCATTGTAAATGCTTTATCACATTCAGAACACTGATACGGCTTCTCTCCAGTGTGAACCCTCTGGTGTCTGAGAAGGTTTGCCTTCATTGTAAAAGCATTATCACATTCAGAACACTGATATGGCTTCTCTCCAGTGTGAATCCTCTCATGTGCAATAAGCGTTGCCTTCTCTCTAAAAGCTTTGCCACATTCAGAACATTGATATGGCTTCTCTCCAGTGTGAATCCTCTGGTGGCTGATAAGGGATGACTTCAGTGCAAAAGCTTTATCACATTCGGAACACCGATATGGCTTCTCTCCAGTATGAATCCTCTGGTGTCTGATAAAGTCTGACTTCATTGTAAAAGCTTTATCACAATCAGAACACTCATATGGCTTCTTTCCAGTGTGAACCCACTGGTGTCTGATAATCTCTGACTTCATTGTAAAAGCTTTATCACATTCAGAACACTGATACGGCTTCTCTCCAGTGTGAACCCTCTGGTGTCTGAGAAGGTTTGCCTTAATTGTAAAAGCTTTATCACATTCAGAACACTGATATGGCTTCTCTCCAGTGTGAATCCTCTCATGTGCAATAAGCGTTGCCTTCTCTCTAAAAGCTTTGCCACATTCAGAACATTGATATGGCTTCTCTCCAGTGTGAATTCTCTCATGTGCGATTAGTAATTTCTTGTCTCTAAAAGCTTTATCACATTTAGAACACTGATATGGCTTCTCTCCAGTGTGAATACTCTCGTGTGAAATAAGTTGTGACTCCCATGTAAAAGCTTTCCCACATTCAGAACACTGATATGGCTTCTCTGCAATGTGAACCTTCTGATGTCTGATGAGCTTTGCCTCCATTGTAAAACTTTTGTCAGATTCCAAACGAGAATTGGCCTCTGAAATGACTTCTCTTGTGTTCAGGGGTTTGACGTCACTGTAAAGCCACTGCAACTTCTAGAACACTGAAATGACTTCTCTTGTCCTCTGATGTTAGATCAATGCTGAAGAGTATCCCAAACCTTTACGACCTTCAGAACACTGATATGCCTTGTGTCCTGTGTGATATGTCTTGTGTCCTGTGTGATATGTCTTGTGTCCTGTGTGATGTGCCTTGTGTCCTGTGTGATATGTCTTGTGTCCTGTGTGATATGTCTTGTGTCCTGTGTGAATCTTCCAGTGAACTGTATAAAACACTTCTAGTCACTTAGATCACGTATATGGATTGTCTCCCATATGATTCAATTGTGCTTATGAAGACCAACTTCGCCGAAAACTTGGCTCATCAATAAATCTGTAAAGAAATATAAAAATAAATTAAAGCCAGAACTAAATATGGATAATTTAAAGATACTTTCTTTTTAAATATATTGATTATACAGAAATATGTACTGTACATGGTTAATGTTTGTTTCTTAAAGGAAGGCACTATATTATTCCCCATAGTCCCATAGGTTGGTATAATTGACTGCTTATTACAATTTTCTGAAGGAAAATGTCATTATTTGGACCCATTCAGAGCATTGTGCTGCATTTCTAGTCCCACTAAACTGTATGATAAATCAGAAGTCTCAGCTCTGTGATATTGGTACCGCGAGAATTTGGCATGGCTGCTGTTTGTTGTAAACACATGGGCTCCCTGCACAGGATGAGGTGAGTACCTGGTAAGACCTAATAGAGGAGCTAAAGAATTTCACAATAAAGGAGAAAACACAGGGAGTGGGGACAGAAAAGAAGGGCTGGAACACTCCGGAAAAGTTCCAGTCAAAATGTTAGGAAATAGAGAAATTGTTGCCCTAGAAACAGTAAAAGATACATTGTAAACTCATCCTCTTCTCGGTTAACACAAACATATTAATGTCCTCGGCCGGGGTCTGAGCTTTTGCCCGACCAAGATTGCTTTGATGCGATCAAGGACATCAATCTTTTTGCACACAAACTGATTTTTAAAGTTTGTGGCATCATTTCGAGAATTTTCTATTCATTTTCCACCAAGACCTTGTAGTGACGATTGGAGAGTCAGACTACTGCGTCTTCTCTAGCACCTCCCAAAGTTTCTCAATGGAGTTAAGAGTCCTGGCAATCGTCATCTTGGAATATGCCCAATATGCCATCAGGGAAGAAGAAAAAATCCAGTAAAGGAAAAACCTGGTCGTTCCGTATATTCAGGTAGGTAGCTAAAGATTGCTGAACCCAGACCTAACCAACTGAAGGAAACCCAGATCATAACACTGCCCCCTCAGCCTTGTATGTCTGGCACTAGGCATGATGGGTGCATGACTTCGCCCACCTCCTTTTTTTTTACCCTGATGTGCCGATTGCTTTTGAACAGGTTAAATCTGAACTCATCAGATCACACGATCTGCTTCCATTGCTCCAGAGTCCAATCTTTATGCTCCCTTACAAATGGGAGCTTTTTTTTCAGATCAGCCTCACTGATGAGAGGTTTTCTTAAGCCTGCACAGCTGTTTAGTCCCAATCTCTTGAGTTCTCCTCACATTGTGCGTGTGTGGCAAAGCTTTTACTTACAAAATTAAGCATAGCCGTGAGTTCTACTATTGATATTTTAGGATCTGATTTCACCAAACGTTTAAGTGGTCTTCGATCATGATCATTCCAGAATTTTCTCCGACCACATTTCTTCCTGGAAGATGATGGTTCACCACTATCCTTCCTGGAAGATGACGGTTCACCACTATCCTTCCTGGAAGATGATGGTTCACCACTATCCTTCCTGGAAGATGACTGTTTACCACTATCCTTCCTGGAAGATTTCGGTTCATCACTATCCTTCCTGGAGCATGACGGTTCACCACTATCCTTCCTGGAAGATGACGGTTCATCACTATCCTTCCTGGAGCATGACGGTTCACCACTATCCTTCCTGGAGGCTGACGGTTCACCACTATCCTTCCTGGAAGATGATGGTTCACCACTATCCCTCTTAGAAGATGACGGTTCACCACTATCCCTCTTAGAAGATGATGGTTCACCACTATCCTTCCTTGAGGCTGACGGTTCACCACTATCTTTACTGGAAGATTATGGTTCACCACTATCCTTCCTGGAGGCTGACGGTTCACCACTATCTTTACTGGAAGATTACGGTTCACCACTATCCCTCTTAGAAGAAGACAGTTCACCACTATCCCTCTTAAAAGATGACGGTTCACCACTATCCCTCTTAGAAGCTTACGGT